AAAAAAAAAACCCTCCAATATGTCATTGAGCCTATCTTTGAATACCTTTATTGATAGATTATTCTACCTCCCTTCAGAACAGCCCATTTCATTTTGAGATAACTGCTAACCTTCTCCTTAATCTTTAGGTTCTTACTGCCCTACCTTTCTGCATATGATATGATTTCCAGGGCTGCCACCATTTTAGTCACCTTCCCTGGACATTCATTATTTTGTTTGTCCCTAAAGAACAGCACCAGCACTGAAACAGATGTTGCACATATAGGCTAAGTGCAGCATCTTGTTTTTGACATTCTACTTTTATTAAGGTAGACTGTGATTGAATTGACTCTTTTTAAGTAACTCTAATCCTAACTCATTTCAAATTTTTATTCCATTAAAACCTTTAAATTATTTTTATATATGCTACTAAATTTTTTATCTTCTACTTTACAGTTAGTTTTTTACCCAAAATCAGTCCTTTGCATTTCTTCTTATTTAACCTAATAGAAAATTTTTCTGGGCAATAGATGTAGAAACTAGCATGTGTAAATTATTTAGGAAACTAATTATCCAAAATGTATTTGAATAGTTCATTGCAGTCATATCTTGCATCAGTTCAAGAAAGAATTGAGTTGATTTAAAAAACAATTTATACCTCATGCATTTGTCCCCCAAGATTAACAAATTAATTCCCATTCCCACATTTCTCATTTGCCTCTTGTAATCACCATTTTTCTAGATCTCTAGGCCAGAATAATCTTTGATTCCTTCCCTGTATTTATTTGGTCATCAAATCTTAGAAGTTTTCCAGCTCTTTAATTTCTTGCTTTCCTGTTCACTTCACAGCCAGTTACCCAAGCTATGCAAATCTCTTGGCTTCTAGTATCCCCGCACTGTAATCCATCCTGTGCTTTGCTGGCAGATCATTCTTTTAAAATAATTATTTACATCACTTTATCATGTCAGTTTTCTTCAGGGGAATCTATAAGATTGAATTTTTTAAATTCTTTATTGTTTAAAGCAGTGGTTCTCAACCTTCCTAATGCCACGACCCTTTAATACAGTTCCTCATGTTGTGGTGACCCCCAATTTCATTGTTACAAATTGAACATAATTAAAGCATGGTGATTAATCACAAAAACAATATGTAATTATATATGTGTTTTCCGATGGTCTTAGGCGACCCCTGTGAAAGGGTCGTTCGACCCCCAAAGGGTCGCGACCCATAGGTTGAGAACCGCTGGTTTAAAGTATTACATATAGTATTACATATTACATATGTCTCCTTTTTCCCCCATTGACTTCTTCCTGGCCACTCCCACTCCCCAGCACATGCCCTCACCCCCCTAGTGTCTGTGTCTCTGTGTCCATTGGTTATGCTTACATGCATGCATACAAGTCCTTTGGTTGATCTCTTCCCCCCACCCCCCACACCCTCTCCTGCCTTCCCTCTGAAGTTTGACCGTTTGTTCGATGTTTCTCTGTCTCTGGATCTGTTTTTTGTTCATCAGTTTATGTTGTTCATTATATTCCACAAATGAGTGAGATCATGTGATATTTAACTTTTTCTGACTGACGTTTCTATTTTGTTCATCAGTTTCTTTTGTTCATGGATTTCCACATATAAGTGAGATTATATGGTATTTGTCTTTCTCTGACTGACCTGTTTCACTTAGCGTAATGCTCTCCAGGTCCACCCATGCTGTCAAAAAAGGTAAGAGTTCCTTCTTTTTTACAGCTGTATAGTATTCCATTGTGTAGATGTACCACAGCTTTTTTATCCACTCACTGGGGCTGTTTCCAGATCTGGGCTGTTGTAAATTGTGCTGCTATGAACATATGGCTGCATATATTCTTTCAAATTCGTGTTTCAAGTTTCTTAGGAATTATTTTCAAAAGTGAGATCACTGGGTCAGATGGCAGCTCCATTTTTAACTTTTTGAGGATACTCCATACTGTTCTCCACAGTGGCTGCACCAGTCTGCATTCCCACCAGCAGTGCACGAGGGTTCCCTTTTCTCCACATCCCCAGCACTTGTCGTTTGTCAATTTGTTGATGATGGCCATTCTGACAGGTGTGAGATGGTACCTCATTGTCATTATGATTTGCATCTCTCGGATGGTTAGTGACTTTGAGCCTGTTTTCATATGTCTCGACCTTCTGTATGTTTCTTTCACTGTGAAGAAGCTTTTTATTTTGATGTAGTCCCATTTGTTTTTCTTCTTAGTTTCCATTGCCCTAACTGTGGTCGGCAAACTGCAGCTCGCGAGCCACATGCGGCTCTTTGGCCCCTTGAGTGTGGCTCTTCCTAAACCTTAAGAGTACCCTAATTAAGTTAATAACAGTGTACCTACCTATATAGTTTAAGTTTTAAAAATTTGGCTCTCAAAAGAAATTTCAATCGTTGTACTGTTGATATTTGGCTCTGTTGACTAATGAGTTTGCCGACCACTGCCTAGGAGCTGTATCAGTAATGATATTGCTACGACATATGTCTGATATTTTGCTGCCTGTGGATTCCTCTGATATTTTTATTGTTTCCCATCTTATGTTTAAGTCCTTTATCCTTTTTGAGTTTATTTTTGTGTATGGTGTAATAAGTTGGTGGTCTAGTTTCATTTTTTTGCATGTATCTGTCCAATTTTTCCAACACCATTTATTGAAGAGACTATCTTGACCCTATTGTATGCTCTTGACTCCTTTGTCAAATACTAATTGAGCATAATGGCTTGCGTCGATTTCTGGGTTCTCTGTTCTGTTTCATTGGTCTATATGTCTGTTCTTGTGTCAATACCAGGCAGTTTTGAGAACAGTGGCTTTGTAATGTAGCTTGATATCTGGTATTGTGATCCCTCCAACTTTTTCTTCTTTCTCAAGATTGCTGTGGCTATTCGGGGTCTTTTTGTGTTCCATATGAATTTTTGGAGAGTTTGTTCTAGGTCTGTGAAATATGCCATTGGTATTTTAATGGGTATTGCATTAAATCTATAGATTGCTTTGGTTAGTATAGCCATTTTAATGATGTTGATTCTACCGATCCATGAACATGGTATATTCTTCCATTTGTTTATGTCTTCCTCTGTCTCTTTTTTTCAATGTCCTGTAGTTTTCCGAGTTACAGGTCTTTTACCTCCTCAGTTAAGTTTATTCTAGGTATCTTAATTTTTTTGGTGCAATGGTAAATGGGATTGTTTTTGTTGTTTCTCTTTCTGTGAGTTCATTATTGGTGTATAAAAAAGCCATACATTTCTGGGTGTTAATTTTGTATCCTGCTACATAGCCAAATGCATTTATTAAATCTAGTAGTTTTTTGATGGAGTCTTTAGGGTTTTCTATGTACAATATCATGTCATCTGTGAATAATGACAGTTTTACTTCTTCTTTTCCAATTTGGATGCCTTTTATTTCTTCTTCTTGTCTGATCGCTATGGCTAGCACTTCTAGTAGTACTATGTGGAACAGGAGTGGTGAGAGTGAGCATCCCTGTCTTGTTCCTGTTCTTAGGGAAAATGGTTTTAGTTTTTGCCCTTTGAGTATGATGTTGGCTGTAGATTTGTCATATAAGGCTTTTATTATGTTGAGGCATGATCCCTCTATTCCCACTTTGCTGAGAGTTTTTTATCAAGAAAGGGTGTTGGATTTTGTCAAATGCTTTTTTTCTACATCAATTGATATGATTATGTGATTTTTATCTATCAATTTGTTTATGTGATGTATCATGTTTATTGATTTGCGGATATTGTACCATCCTTGCGTCCCCGGAATAAATCCACTTGGTCTTGGTGTATGATCTTTCTAATGTAATGCTGGATCTGATTTGCTCAAATTTTTTTGAGGATTTTAGCATCTATGTGTATCAGGGATATTGGTCTATAATTCTCTATCTTTGTAGTGTCTTTATCTGGTTTTGGGTTTAGGGTAATGCTGTCTTTAAAAAAAGAGCTTGGAAGTGTTCCTTCCTCATGAATTTTTTTGAATTGTCTGAGAAGGATAGGTTTTAGTTCCTTTTTGAATGTTTGGGAAAACTCCCCTGTGATTCTGTCTGGCCCAGGGCTTTTGTTTGCTGGAAGTTTTTTTTTTTAATACTGTTTCAATTTCCTCCATAGTTATCAGCCTTTTCAGATTTTTTTTATTCTTCCTGATTGTGTTTTGGAAGGTTGTATTTTTCTAGGAATATGTCCATTTCTTCTAGGTTCACCAGTTTGTTGGAATATAGTTGTTCATAGTATTTTTTTTTCACAATCCTTTGTATTTCTGTGGGGTCTGTTGTTATTTCACCTCTTTCATTTCTGATTTTGTTTATTTGGGTCCTCTCTCCTTCTTGGGGAACCTGGCTAGAGGTTCATCAATCTTGTTTATCCTTTCAGTGAACCAGCTCTTGGTTTCATTGATTATTTATTTATTTATTTATTTATTTATTTATTTTTTGTATAAGATTGAATTTAAACTTCTTAGTAAACCATTAGTGATACCTCTATAATCTAATTCTACTTGATTTACATTGCTCTGCTTATTACTCTCATTACCCTTCATTGTAATCTTTCTGATGAACTTCTTGGCATACATGCTCATCCTTCCTCAGTACATACACACACGCACACTCTCTCTCAGTTTCACTTATTCACTCTTGTTCTTGTCAGATTGGCCTAGTAAATACTATTTTTTTCCTTTATACTATGTTGTTTCTTTGTTGCCTTGAACTCCTCAACATATATAACCTATCACCTTCAATGAAAAATCTAGTCCAAATTGCTATCTTTTTTTCTGTGTTCCAATTGTATTTATGTCTGAACACACAATTTATCATTTAGTCTTTGTTGGTTAATACTTATGTAAGGCTTTTCCTTTCAGTGTACTTGATGGCAAGGAGTATAAAAATGTACTGGATTATCCACAAAATTTACCAGCTTGTACTATGTTCTTTTATGTGTAAAATAATTTCTTATAGTTTTGGGTCTTTTTTATATTATTGGGAGAAGGCATACATTAAAAGTCTCTATTATAATTCATCTTATAGGAAACCCCTTTTCAAGGAGAAATGAAGAAAAAAACTGTTTATACCTTAAATGTGGGAGATCAGGAGTATGAAGATATGGAAGGTAAATTTTCATTTTTATAAAGCTTATATGTTGAAAGCAAACTTAGTGCTTTCAAACTGTTCATTTTTATACATTTCAAAATACACAAGAAGTTTTTATTTTATTTATTTTGTTCTTAAATTCTCAAATAAGCTGCCTGAATAAGGAGTGTACACATTCTCTCCCTCCCCGTCATGTCTTATTTTCAATTGATCAAGGGTTTTGGTTTCTTGACCTTTTTCTTCTTAAATTTTTGCTCCCTACTTTTTTAGGAATTACATACTTTCTTTGTTTTGTTTTTTAAATAGCATTGATATTTTCCTCTGTTTCTAAAATTAATCTTTTAAGCTTAGAACACTTAACTGTGATCATCCTACTCTAGATTTATAGGTTATAGCCTCCATCATTTTGGTGTCTTGTGTTTATTTTTTTCAGGACATCACAAATTAAATGATATTTGATACAGATAGTATTTGAGGGGTTTGTTTTTCTCTACTTCTTTTCTTCTGAAAAAACCTTAAGTTCCTTTTCTGCAAAGTCTAATGGTGATCAACTCTTAGGTTTTTGTATTTATTTTTTCTCTTCAAAACTATTCAAAGATAGATATACAATTCTGGATTAATAGTTTTTTACCCCCTCCTATCACTTATTTATTTTTCTTTTCTTTTTTTTCTTCTATGACTTATTTAGCCATTTTTTGTTTTCTTTCTTATTGTCTAGAAATCTCTTTTTAGCCTCAATTGTCATTCCCTTTTAGATAAACTGACTTTTCTAACTCTTTGCTTTTAATATCGTTTTCATCTTTAATGTTATACAGTTTTACTACATTGTTTCTAGGCATGGATTATTTTCATTTCTCCTGTTTAAGCATACGTTGTGTATCCTTTATCTGTTGGATTGTGTTGTTTTTTGTTTTTTGTTTAATTTATCATTTCCTAGTCATTACTGCTTTAGCCATTGCTTCTCCTTTATTCTTTTCCTCTAGACTTCAATTAGTATGTTATAGAATTTGGTCTGACCTCATTTCCTAACCTCTCTTTCACAGGTTACATCTCCTTGTCTGTCTCTTACAATCTTAGGTAGTTTCCTGAAATCTCTCTTCCAGTCACAAATATTATTTTCTTCTAGGTCTAGTCTGCTGTTCAAGCATTCTATGTAGTAGTTGAAAATTCTTATATTTAAAGCCAGTGTGTATCTAAATAAATCCTACATAATAAAAGCGTAATATGCTAAGTGTCCGACAGATCAGACACTAAGTGACCATTCCAGTCAACCACTTGACCAGTCGCTATGATGCTCACTGACCACCAGGGGGCAGATGCTCCGACCGGTAGGTTAACTTGCTGCTGGGGTCTGGCACATACGGACTGGGTGAGATGGTCGGACATGCCCTGGAGCCCTCCAGCGGTCCCTCCCGGCCAGCTGGCCCCCATCGGCCCCAATCGGGACTGGGTGAGCCGGCCCTGATCGCCGGCCAGGCCGAGGGACCCCACCAGTGCACGAATTCGTGCACCGGGTCTCTAGTTTATAATAAATAAAGATAATATATAAATATAAAAAATAAATAAATTATTGTTTCTGCAGATTCTTACTCAAGGCAGTTTATTTTCTTGGGTTTGGCAATGTTTGATTATGAGCTAATATTTGGTAAATTTAATCTATGGAATCCTGGAGGGCTAAATTAGGGATGCTTCCTCCAGAGGTTGTATTTGTTTTTCCCTAACCCATTCTGGAACCACTAGCACCTTTTGAGGGTCTTTGATTAATATGGGAGTCTCTCAGAAACAGTTTCCCCACCTGGGTTGGTCCTAAGGCTTAATCTCCAGATCTGAAGACTAGTGCGGACATTTGCTCCCAGGACAATCCCAGATTTTCCATTTGTGTGGTGTATACTTTTTATATTTCAGTTGACCATTTCTTTATTTTTGTTTTATTTTATGTTGAGTCTTGGTGTTTCCTGTATTTATTTTGAGTTAGCAATGTGTAACTTTGTACATTGGTTACATGGCTGGCTGAGTGTTTAAATTAGTGCAAACTGTAAGGGGTATAATTTGGTGTATCTATTCAAATTAGAAATGTACATACATACTGATCTAACAATTTCATTTTTGTGAACTTAATCCTATGTACTATTAAAAGCGTAAAGTTTTTAATGACAAAGTTTTTTGTTGCAGCATTGTTGTAATAGCCAAAGGTTAAAAATAAGTGAACATTCAATAGGTCAAACAAACAAAAGCAAATGGTGTGTTATTGTGATCTAGCATTTGTATGAAGGAGGTTTGAAAGAACATGCATTAGGATTTGCTTGTCTATGCATTAAAAAAATCCTTGAGAGGATAGAGAAGAAACTTAACAGTTTTGAAACATTGGGTAGAACTGGATGGTTAGGTGTAGATATGGGTGGGAGATTTGTCACTACAAGTATAATCTTTTTTTTACTTCTAAATTTTTTAACCATGTCACTATTATTTTAAAATTAAATGAATGAAAAATTATTTTCACTTCCTTATTAAAAAACAAATTAATATTGGGGGTATTGTGCTCAATGAGTATATTTACTGTAAAGTATCTAGATTGAATTACTTTGTAGTAGAAAGGACTATTACTTTGTAGTAGTCCATGATACTGACACAGATATAAGTCATTTGGTCTGGAGAACTTGAAAGCATATATGGCTGCTTTACTTTACAGGTGAAGAAGACAAAGATAATACTGCTACCACTGGTTTGTTGTACAGTGAAGCTGACAGATGTCCAATATGTCTTAATTGCCTATTAGGGAAGGAAGTTGGTTTTCCAGAAAGCTGTAATCATGTCTTCTGTATGACCTGTATTCTTAAATGGGCAGAGGTGAGTTTTAAATATTAAATGTTAAATAAATATTAAATGTTATTATATTTTAGTTTCCTACCATGATTTCATTCCACCTAATCTAAAATGACATTGCCTTTCATAAATTATTTCACAGTAATATGTGTTCCCCTTACTTTGGGAAAAAAATTCCCTGTATTATTCTAATTCTGTCAGTATATTTTCTTCCTTTTATTTTTTTATTCAACTTTTTGTTCTTTTATTAAAAAAATTAAATGCATATCTTTAAAAAAAGAAATTTAACCTTATAAGCATAACAGATTATTTTTTTTCTGTTAGAATACAGTAATTCATCTTCAGTGTACTTGACCATCTTGGGATAATAACTGTTTATTACTAATAATCACATCTTCTGTCTGCTTTGTGTTTTATATTTTTCAGAGAATTTTTACATAGATTATTTGATTTCTTCTTTATATCAGCCTTGTGGGATAACCAGAGCAGATGTAATAGTGTCCTTCCATTTTACAGATGAGGAAATTTGGATTTTTGCATTCTATAACTTGGCCAAGGTTCATAGCTTAAGGTGCAGAAATGAATTTAAAATTTCACTTTCTAATTTAGTATGAACTAATTTCAGAATCTGAGTTAGAGATATTACTGAATTTCTTCATAGATTTTAAATGATTAAAAACCAGAACATTTCAGACTTTATGTATTTATTATGTTGACTCCGTTTGGGCCTACTTAAGTAGATCATGGTACTGGTACATTGAATATTCATTATAAGACCCATTGTTATGGATTGTGAAATAAAAATTTATTGTCATACTAATAATGCTGTTTTCAGAATTGGTTATTTGTCAGTGTGTACATATTAGTAAAGGAGGCAGATCTCAAAAATATTTTTAACATTAGTTACATTCAGTTTGTTTGATGTCCCTAAGTACATTGGAGTTAATCACTTATTTCATAATTGGGATTCCGGAGTTCTATGATTTACTTATATTTTCATTAATAGTGTGGAAAGGAGAACATAACTGCATACTGACTATGGCTGAGGTTTGGGAGAAGGAAAAAAGATTTGTACCAATTGAATTCATAATAGTATACTTGGAAACAGTTCTGTTTAGATTAAAACCTAGACTGGTCTTTGGCAGAAAGGGACTGAGGATAGGTGAACGGTAGTTTGGGAAAAAGTATTTTTAGTTTAATTATTTTATATAATTATAAATTTCTGTTTGCAGGAGCATTGACTAACGAAATAAGAATGCTTATTTTTCTATGCCACTCAACTAAAGATTTCATCTGTGATGAGTTTAGTGCATCTTGGTTTGCTTTGTGATTACATTTTTTTAAATAGAGATTTTTGCTTTCAGTAGAGAAGCAGTATTACTGGATGGGTAAAAGGCTTCAATTCAGTACTTTTCATAAGATTGTATTCAGTGATTACATAATTGTGAAGTTCAACACATCTGAGTATGTGTTTTTCTCTATGAAAATTATAGTTTATAAAATAGACACGATTCTCCATTCTTCCTTACACTCCACATGCATCTTTCACACGAACAGAAGCTTTATTACGGTGTATGTGTTCTAGGTTTCTCTAGGATATGTATCTAGAGGTGTGCACTATCTACATAGTGAACCCTACTAGACAGTGCTAAACTTATCTGTGTTTTTAAATTGTTGAATATTTTAAAGTTGAAAATACTTGATAACATACATAGTGTTACAATCAAAACCTTTCTTGCATGTAATATTTTCTTTTGTGTTACTCCTTTGGATATAAACACTTTGTTGAAGCCAAATTGCTTTTAAAAGACAGTACTTATCTGCTGTATTACCATAAATTGTGATGAGGGTGGGATGGAGGTGTCATGGTATTGTTTAAATAAAAGTAATTAACCATGAAAGTGGAGCATAAATAGAATATTCTGAATTATTTTGTTGTCCCTAATGGGGATAGCAGCCATCAAATCAGTTAAATAAACCATTAAATAGAGCATTAAGAAGAGCACAATTTACTAATAAATTATTCATTGTATATAATAAATTAATACTGGTTAACAAAATTACTTAGTCTTTGAACTAAATTTTTAGTTTGAATCTTTTATTGGTCTGTTAAAAATTAGATGTGTTTCAAAGTATATATATGCTTTGACAAATAGAATCAGATTTTAGATTTGCTAGTGGGTTTGCTTTTTTTAAATTTTATTTTTATTGATTTCAGAGAGAGGAAGGGAGAGGGAGAGAGATGGAAACATCAGGGATGAGAGAGAATCATTGATCTGCTGCCTCCTGTACACCCCACACTGGGGATCGAGCCCACAACTTGTGCATGTGCCCTGACCAAACTGTGACTTCCTGATACTTGATAACATACATAGTGTTACAATCGAAACCTTTCTTGCATGTAATATTTTCTTACTTTTGTGTTATTCCTTTGGATATAAACATTTTGTTGAAGCCAAATTGCTTTTAAAAGGTTCATAGGTTGATGCTCACCCACTGAGCCACGCCTATCGGGCACTAGTGGGGTTTTTTTCATGACTGTTAGTTATTAAGCTCTTTCTTCTCATTTTCCTAAAACTCCTCCTGTTTTTAAAGAGAAGGCATGCAATTTACTTTGGATTTCAGGATTAGGAAATAAATGTCTATATTCAGAGTCTCCTAATTGGCCTGGCCTTATGCTAAGGCTTTCCTATATATTCTTTCATTTAAATCACTGTGTCAATGTTTGTCTGATATAAGACATGGATTTGGAATGCTAATTTGTTTCTAAATACCTCAAGGGATAGCCTGAAATTAAAATAATTTTTAAAAATTGATCCATAGTTTAAAATTTTGCTAATGTTCACGTTTAATAGGAAAATAGAAATCAAAGTGAGATTTACAGCAGTTGGAAATATACATAGTAAGAAAACAGTACAAAATGTATTCAGGATCATCTTCCTAGTCTTATGTGTCTTTCAGAAATTCAGCTTAGCTATTTCAAAGTTTGTACTAAAGGTTTACTGAAATATTCAGAATGGATATCAAGAACCAAAAAAGAAGGACTCATTTATTTATCTTCACGTTAACATTTTAGGCATTGAAGAAGTTGTGCTCTGTAAGGAACAAGTAAAGTTAAGGTATATAATAATCTAGTATATTTGTTTTGGACACATTCCTGAACTTTTTTTATGCTCTTAAAGTATCTATATCCAAAGTCAAAGTTAGTTTCAATCTCTTCATGGTCTAAAATTTGGGTTCATTGGTTATTTAAAACAAAAGCCATGTAAGGACTTTAAAGTGATTAACTTAGTCTTTAGGTATTTCATAGAATCCACCTTACCTGGGGCAAAAAGATTCAGGATAATGGAACCTGTGGTGGCCTAAATGGCCCATAGCTTAATTGCTTGCCCTTGAGGACACTAGAACAAATCCAGGTTAAGCATATTCTCTATAACTATGTTTAGTTTCAAGGAATTTATAATAGGTAAGCCTGTTGGTTTATAAAATTGTAGAAATAGAATGTTGAAGTAAACAAAGACATAGTATTTGACAAGTAATTAAGGAAAGTTGAAATATTAGTTAAAGCATCAGTATTAGAGCTGAGAATCTGAAACTAAATAAAAGATAGCCTTTAAACTAATGAAATATGTATAGAGCCAATACACCTCGTAAGTTTATTAGCCACTCAGAAAGTTACTTATTTTACCCATACTGTGAGCCAAAACACAGTCTAAATATATTGAGAGTTTTTAATTTGCACACAAGTTTAACTTAGCACATTTTAAAGTTTAGTTATGCACTACATAATGACTTTTGTGTTATTAATGGTCAGCTATAGACTGTGTATATGACAGTGGTCCCATCTATATTTATTAAAGGCTAATATGCAAAGTGTCCCCTTGGGAGTTCGACCAGGAGACCAGGAGTTCGGTTCCTTGCTTGACCTGCGCTGACCACCAGGGGGTGGTGTGGAACGAAGGAAGGCCCTGGCCAGCAGCTAGGGAAGGAAGACCCCAACCAGCAGCCGGCAGCCAGGAAAGGAAGGCCCCGGCTGGCCCTGATCGCCGGCCAGGCCTAGGGACCCTACCCGTGCATGAATTTTGTGCACCAGACCTCTAGTAAGATTATAATGGAGCTAAAAAGTTCCTTTTGCCTTCAAGTCATAGCCATCATAGCATTGTAGGACGATGCATTACTCACATATTTGGGGTGATGCTGGTGTAAACAAATCCACTGTCTGCCAGTCATATAAAAGTATAGCACATACCATTATGTACATAATACTTGAGAAGATAAACAACTATGTTACTGGGTTATAATTTACTGTGCTATACTTTTAATTGTTATTTTAGAATGTACTCTTTCTACCTATTAAAAAAGTTTGCTATAAAGCAGTATGCTGTGTTGAACTGGCAGCAGTATCATATATATTGTGAATATCATGTTTCTTGAGTGCATCATTTTATCTTGTGCTCGATTTAATCTCTTGTTTTGTATAGTCACATGCTGTACAGGCTTACAGCCTAGGAGCAATAGGCTATAACACATAGTGTAGGTTTTCACAACAGTACAGTCTCCTAATGATGCAATTGCACTTTTCAGAATGTGTCCCCATTGTTAAGCGGCACTTAACTGTCAATAATTAGAAAGGCGAAAGCTAGAGAAGTCTGACACATGACTGTGGTAGTGACAACTGATTATAATTATGAACCCCTACAGACAAGACGATACCCCCTTCACACACATACTGGTTAAGAAAATAGAGTTTATGATTTGGCAGGTTGCCAAGAAGTGGTTAAAATTTTGGTTCTTAAGAAGGTAAAGTTTGAGAACTTGGAAACATTTCATGCTTGAAGTGTTCAAGAGTTTTTACTGTATTTAAAGGGACATGCGATAATATATTGATTACGAGATTCTTGATATCTACCAGGGTTCTTTTCTCTTTTAAGAAATAAAAAATATTTTCTTATTTTTTAAGTAATTTTTGAAATGTCATTAACTTTTTTACTATAAGCAAATTACCTTCCCTCAATTTATTTATC